TAGCAAAAAAGAATTATAAAAATAAGTTTTAAAAAAGACACAATATCCAACTAATGAAAAAAATGCCAAACACCTAGGAATAAATCTAGTAATATGCTACAACTTCTACACAGAAAAACTATGAAATAATATTGAAAGGTTTTTATTTCTTTGGGATGCTGAAAAGACCCTCCCACATGTGAGGCAAGTGCTCTATCACTGACTGAAATCCCGGTCCTTACTGAGAGACTTTTTCAAGGAGCTACATAAATAGAGGAGTATACCATTTTCATGGACTGGAAGACCTGATATTAAAAAGGTGACCATTTTTATAAAATTTGTTTACAGATAATGTAATCTCAATCAAAATCCCAATAGTTTAAGTTTTTGTTGTTGATACTGATTTGTTTGGGTGGAACTTAATAAGATGATTTAAAAATATTATATCAATGTAAAAGTCAAAGACTATCCAAGAACAAAGAACAAGAGAACTTGATCTACTAAATATAACCTCATGTTACAAAACTATAGTGTGCTACTGGTGCAAGAATATATACAACAAACAAAAGAAACAGAAAGCTCCAAACAGACCATACGCATTTGGATACTTGATTTATGACGGTGATACACAGGATCAAATGGAAGATCATTTAAAAAAAAAATGTGTTTCAATACAACTTGACTCCTGCCTCATACAACATGCAAAAATTAATTCCCAGCAAATATTAAATATAAACTTGGGAAATAAAGCTGTAAACCTTCTAGAAAATAATATAGATGAAGATATAACAGAGAAAGAAAAGACTTACTCAACACTCAGGATACAAAAAAACAGTAACATAAAGGAAACAAAACCTATAAAGGATTTGGATGTTAAAATTTTAAAAACCTGAACAGACGTGCAAGAGAAGGAAGAGCCTGCCACACATTTAACCAACAAGGGGTTCATATCTAGAATATTTTTTAAAAATCCTACAATTCAATAAGAAAAATATAAAAAATCCAGTTGAAAATGAGCAAGAGACTTAAACAATAATGTCACAAAATATTTCAAATGGCCAATAAACAAAAGAAAAGGAGCTCAAATTCATCAGTCAGAAAAAAAAGCAAAGTAACCTCACAACATGATATTACTACAAAACCAGCATAATGGCTAAAATCATGAAAACTGACAACGTTGGCAAAGATATGGAGTCAGGGAAACTCCCAGATGCTGCTGGTGGGAGTATATTGGTACAACTACTTTAGAAATAGTTTGGGATTATTTACTAAAGCTGACACTACATGCATCCTTATAATCTAGCAATTCGTCTTCTGGATATGAACCAAATAGAAACGTCCAGCCACAGGTACCATGAAACATGCACAAAAGTGACCAGAGCCACGTCGTCCATAATGCCCCCAAAGGGACCACCCAAAGGTTCACCAACAATACAGCAAATAAACTGGGGATTCATAAATCGTACAATATCGTGTCACAGTCTTCCATACAGCAGAGAAAAGTGAACAAACTCTAACCACAGGCCACAATATTTATGAGTATCACCAACAACACTGAGCAGAAAGGTCCAAGCACAAATATAAACTCTATGATATCATTTTATTCCTTTCTCAAAAAACAAAAAAGTCAAGCCCAACATATTGTGTTTAGGGATATATTCACTGTCAAAAAAACAAAAACAAAACAAAAAAACAAAAAACAAAAAAACAAGGAAGTGTTTGCCAAGAACATCAGGAAATGTTCACCTTTAGGGTGGGTGAAAGTGGTGATGGGGGGCTTCTGGGTCATTGGCAATATTCTAGTTTTCTTAATCCTGGTGTTGGCTGCAAAATATTTACCTTGTGATAAATCACAGCACTCTACATCATATTTTGTGCACTTTTCAGTATGCATGTGAAATCTCAGTTAAAAGGTTAAATAAAAAAGTCCACACAGGACAGAGGGCTCCATAACATCAATACCTATGCACATTGCTGGAATTGAGAATAGAATTGCTTGATTTTTAAAAAATTGGCAGCGTTCTTACTTTGGCTCCTTCTTTTGTACATTTCCTGTGCTAACATCTTACTGAGCACTAGAATGACCACACATGGCCAGTTCACACTGGACAGCTTCCTCACTTATCTGTCATCATCCGTTTCCTGATGGACACTGTTACCTTGGTCCAGATAATGCACCTTATGTAAAAGTGCTGAGATCTTCCAGAAAATCTCCAACAATTGATACCCTACTCTTGCTCATTCCTCCTCTCCTCACAGCCTCTCTCTTTCTTCTTCAGCTCTCAGCTCAAAAGTCACTTATTCAGGGAATTGTTTCTTTGCCCCCACCTCCAACCCCATCACATTCCTCTCCTTGTGACACCTGCACTGGTCATTTTCAGTTGCCCACCCCCCACCTCCCAGGTCCATCCCTAGGAGAGGAAATCAATCCTGAAAGAGACCCCATCACTCGGATGCCCTGTCTATCTGGCTTCTAATGGGCTCTGCTGGCAAAAGTCACAGCAGAAGCTGGGAGTGTGGGAGACAAACAGTCAGGGCCCATCCTCTCCTCTGGCTGAGGTCTGTTTGCAGGGCTGACTCCTTCCTCTGGGCTCAAGCTCCTCCTCCCTGGACTCCAGCATTAATGGACTCTGGTAACATCATCCCTGCCTCTTGTTTTTCAGGCCTGAGGTGATAACAGCTTCCCACCACTAAGCCTTTCACTGATTCTGATAAACCATCTCTCTAAATTGCCCTTACACTAAACTCTCCATTTGAACTAGACTGAGTTCTGTTTTTTGTTTGTTTGTTTGTTTTGTTTTGTTTTGTTGCTGGGACCCCACAGAGCAGTAATTTTATATTAATTTATGTGATGATTTCTTCAGCATCGATCTTTTAGACTGTGAGTTTCATGACGCTGACACTTCAGAAATTGCCCCCCCCCAAAAAACCTGTAAATGATTTAGTAAGTTAATGAATGAATAAATGAATTCACACTAGAGTTAGAACATACTATATACATCATAAGCTGGGCATGGTGGCCCAGACCTATAATCCCAGTGGCTAGGGAAGCTGAGGAAGGAGGATCAAGTTCAAAGCCAGTCTCTGCAACTAAGCAAGGCCCTAATCAACTTAGCAAGACCCTGTCTCAAAATAAAACATAAAAAGGGCTGGGGATGTGGTTCAGTGGTTAAGTGCCCCTGGGTTCAATCCTTGGTACAAAAAAAAAAAAAAGGCTATATACAACAATTTCTAAAATGTCACTACTACATTTGAACATGATCCTAATCTATCAGACCAAACATTTTACCTCTGTTGGCTGAAAATAAGCTTTTGTTGGCAGGAATATTTGCACTCAGGAAGATAATTTCAATTATTTCAGAAATAAGTGCAATAGTTTTGAGTTTTTAATTAAAAAAACTCAACTATCTAAAATAAGTCATCAATGACAAGACTCTAAGTGGACAAAATGAGAAATGGGTCACTACAGTAGACTGTAATGAGTTACAACTCTATCAGTAGGAATACAATAAACACCTTAAGTAGAAAAAGAAGGCTTTACATCCCTGAAGTGTTCATATCCTGTTGCAAATGACTGGGGAAAATAAATACTTAGTGGATATTAGTCAAAGAGAGTTAACCAATTGGATATGTTCTTTGTTATTATGATAAACTATCCACATTGCTGTCTGGAGTTTAAAGAAGGGCTATCTAGGCTAATCCCAGTATTAGATATGCAAGTTACACACTAAAGTTTATACTCAGATAACACCTACAAAATGAATTGGAAAATTCTGATTCGAATTCACCAGTCAGCATTTCCATAATGGCACTAGAGTGTTACAGATTTTCTTTTAGTTGAAAAGTGCAAAAAAATCAGATTGCCTATCAGCCATCAGATGTACTAGCAAAATCTTTCAAACATATGCCAGTATATACTGTACCACATGACTCCTGAATTTTAATCTTGAGAAATCCAGTTTATAAATATATTCACAATAAAATACATACCATATCAAGATCTTTTTTTTTAATTTCATAGCAGGATATTGTGAAAGCAATTTACCTAGCAGGCAAACTCTGAAAAGAGTGAAATAGTCTCCAGCCTAAAGAGGTCATAGGTCATTTCTTCTATAGCCTCTTTCCTAGTTAAACTTCTGAATCTTCTGCTAACTTGTTCACTGTAAAAAGTATTCCAGTTCTGTTCACTCTAATGAGGGGAAGGGAAGGATCAATTTCTCTAGTATGAGTTCAAGATTATTTGTAACCTCCCGCCAAGTGCTACTTAGTTTATAAAGGAAGATCTTTCTGATATGGCACTACTTGGGATATGGGTATGATTGATACTATAATCCTGAAAATGGCATGGCTTCAGTTAGTTACATTAGTAATACCTTGTGAGGGGGTTAGAGAAGAAGTGACTGAGGTAATAATAGCATTTAGTTAAAATGCGGTAGTACAGCCAATTCTTTTTACAAAAGAACTAGATCACTCGCTTTGTTTAATGCCTAATTAGGTGCAACAAAAGAATTTCTTTTTCCTTATTCATTCTGTTCGGTCATAACTAATATAGGAAATGACCACATCAGCTCCTTACTGATTGTTTCCCTGAAAACAAAAGAGTGTTTTTATACCTGATCCTGCTATTGCCAGTAAAGACAGTGAAGTAAAAATTAACCATTCCATCTCTCTTTTCCACATGTAAAGCGATGTTTTTTAAAGGAGGGAGGGGGAGGGAATAATGTATTCAATTCATAAGGGCTGAGGCTCCCCCCGCCCCAGACTCACTCATCCTGGTTCTCATCAACATCGCCCACTAAGGGGGCGCCCAGCACGCGAAGACCCCATTGCCTGACAGGGTCAGAAAGGCAGCATCCCTCGCCCAGTCTGAGAATCCCAACTCCCGACGCCTTCCACACACCCTGGCGGGGCGGGGGCCGACCCGGGGGACCAGGCGGCGTCCCCGGGGCCCGCAGCCCTGAGCCGCGGGCGGGGCCGCAGTGCGCGGTCTCCCTCCCGCAGGGAGCGGCCGAGGTCCTTACCGGCCAGTCCGCCACCGCCGCCTCCGTCGCCGGCGTGCCCCTTTCTCCGCTGCAAGATGAAGTACGGGTTGGCCCTCTCCGTGATCCACAGCGCGTTGGCCAGCAGCACCTCCTCGGGGTTCACCCACATGGTCCCAGCCGCCGACGGCGGACGCACAAAGGGGCCGAGGGTCGGGTCCTGCACACTGGCGCGCACGGGCGCGTACTCCCGGCCACACGCGCGCCCGCCCGCCCGCCCGCTAGGTGAGGCTGGCACCAGCGACTTCACCAGGGGGCGGCCCGTGGCGCCAGGGCCACAACGAAACCCCCGCGGGCGGCCCGGGAGGACCGCGAGGACCCGGGTGCTGCGAGCAGCATCCTCTTCTCGGCGCCGCCGCCCCCCGCGCGCCCGCGGCCGCAGACGCCCAGGCCCGCCGCTCCGCAGCCCGGCTCCGGCCCACGGCGGCGGGAGGAGCGGGAGGAGGATGGAGAGCGGGAGGAGGAGGAAGTGGTGTGGCTTGGTCCCAGGATCCCGCTCGGCGGCGGCAGGGCTGCGGGCAACGCGAGTGGATCGTCCCCGCGGTCAGGGCCGAGCCCGGCTGGGGCGCGGCTGCTCCGGCAGCTCCGGCTCCGGGGCCGCCTGGGTCTCTAGCTGCTCAGAGCTCCCGAGTACGCCGCGCGTTAACACTCCTTCTCAGGGCCACTTGCACCAGCGGCCAGCCCAGCTTCCTCTGGAAGGACGCTCCGGACACTGCGAATGAATGACGACAGCGCGGCTCAGTTGGAGCGAACCCGGGTGACACCAGTTTCTACAGGCGCAGATCCTCCTCGGACTCTGCGCGCCGAGCCCAGCAGCCTTAGCTGGCTTCGCTGGAGCCTTCTGGGGACCTTGTGCCAAGCATTGAGCCCCACGCCCATCCCAGCAGGGAGGACGCTGCCAGCCTCTGTGAGCGTGTGTGCGCTGTTTGTGTTTCAGGTTGACAGAGAGGATAGCGCCACCCTCTTCCCAGGAAATGTGTGTTTCAAGGTTCCAGACGTGCAGCTAGATCCGAGGGTCGGAAGTGGACGCAACCAATGGTTGTCGATGTTTTTGTTTCCTGCATCCCTAGGGCAAGTCATGCGCCAAACTTGTCCCCGCCTGTGACCCCTCCCCCTCTCCATTCCATTGTAATTAAAGCGGCCCAGCTAAGTGCATTACATCACTTCTTTCCTTGACCTGTAGGTCATGAGCAATTGCGAAGTTGGAAGCAGCCCAAAAGCTTAGACTAACTAATTCACACCACAGCTGTTCCTATATTAGGCTTTTTTGGAGCTTCGAGGACCCGGCATGGCGAAATTCAGAGATTTATCCACGTTTAATAGATGGATTAAATGTTTTAAGAAAGTGAAGCCAGAGACACAAGAACCAGGCTTTATATCCCTAGACAGTTTCACTTTCCTGCACACATGGAGTCTTTGGTGGTGATCACAGCCCATCCACCTGCTTATCTGATGACCTCTGGTTTGGGCAGATCTGGGAAATAGTTCATCTAAATAGACCTCCCTTCCCTGATGATCAGCGTTTGCTAGACTCTGCGTTGCTGAAAATGCCTGACAATCCTAGGAACTTCCCCCTTTCCCAAAGAGCAAAGCATTCAACTGAGACATTCTTGCTTTGCTAGGGTTTGAATGTGTCACCTCCCAAATTCAGGTGTTTCATGGGATAGTATTAAGAAGTGGAGCCTTTAAGAGGTGATTAGGCCATGAGGGCTCCACCCTCAGGAATAGGATTAAGGCCCTTATAGAAGTTCCAGCTCAGTAGCTTTGGGCTAGTTTACCCTCCAGCCATTGCCATATGGAACACAGCAAGAAGGCCCTTACCTGGGGTGGCCAAGTTTATCATGAATTTCTCAGCCTTGGGAACTATGAGAAATAAATGTGTGTGCTGTAGAAATTACCCTGGCTCAGGTATGACATTACAACAGCACCGTGGACTAAGACACAGTGGACTTCAAAAGTTTGCTTAAGCAGCTCTGACTTGTAAGGGGGAATCTGTCAAATGGCTGGGTGAACACACCCCTCCACTCTTCTGAGGCTGCCAGTCATGAGTGCACTGTTGGTTCCCTACCACCCACTTCTCGTGAGGGAGACGGAGTCAGGGTCACTCCATGCGGATTGGATTGGCAAGTAAAGGACCACATGAACACAGAAATACCTTTTTGGTGGTTCAAGGATGGCTCTGAGACCTCAGCTCCCATGCTGAGGGGAACAAGGGAGGCAGGAGGCAAGAGAGCCACCACACCCAGAACCCCTGTTTGCATTTAGGGAAAAGACATTCAGAAGAAAATTCCACCCAAATAAGGCAAGGGATTGTGTTACAGCAAACACGGGGATGTAGCCCAGTCCCACTGGGGGACACCAGAGCTGCACTTCCATGCCAAGCGAAGGTGAAGCCCACCTGCCTCGCGCTGCTTGCAATGCCAGTTCCCACCCCCATTACTGAAGGCTAAGGGGGCGTGCCCAGCTCCTGTTTAGGGCAGCTCCACAGTTCCCTACCCTGAGGGCTGACAGGATTGGAAGGCCTCCTGTACCTGACCACACTGGCAGATTTTCTGCCCAAAGGAGATACCAGACCTCCAGGCATTTGGCACCTTCACTACTTAACAGACTCAAAATGTCATTTGGCACTTTCAGTCACAGCACAATGCCTTCACTCACAACTCTGAAAAAAAAAAAAAACACAATAAGATTACTAATGAGACACATGTATTAACATATCTTTATAACAATATTTTTGAAATGCTTCTAGATATTGTTTCACATTATATAACTAGCATTTTAAAAATCCTTACCAAATGCTTTAATTCTGTCGTTTGAAGTGTCTTTACATTGCTTAAACTTGTGGCTTGACATCCAAACCTCTATCCTGGCTCTAATGTGTAAATCTAGCTTAGTCTTTTTGTGTTTTTAAATAAATTGGTTACCAAGATACAACTTACTTATACAATTCGTGCATTTGGTCAATCATTTATTCATTTTATTTATTATATAATTATTGAAGGCTTACCATACTCTAGGCCCTGGGGATAAAAAGTGGACAAAACATACCAAAATCTTGCCTTTGGGAAGATAAAAGTATAATAGTAAGAAAAACCAAAACAAATTTTAAAAAATTTGCCTGGAAAACCACATTGGACACCTAAAGCAAAAAAGAAAATTTTAAAATCCTTGTTATTTTCCAGTTTCTTGGAAGAATTAGAATATATTTTCCAGGAAATCAGGGTTGCCATTATAATAAATTGCAATAACCTGTCCTAGAAGGACACTGCAAAAAATCAGAGCAATTACCAGCAGTTGATGGTGACTTGCATGTACCATCCTGCCATGGTTCATTTATTAAAATGTGCCTTTTTTTTTTTTTAAGGAAAACAAAGGACATCAAATGTGCTGAACTAGAAACGACACAGGAGAACCAAATTAATCTAACCCATTCCTCTGTGAAATAGATGAGTATTTTAACTGTTCAATTTATTCTCACTAGTTTTAAACCCAAGGATGGTTTTGAACTACCTGAAAAAAGAAAAGCATTCAGCAGATGCCTAGTAGGGTTAAGGGTAAATAATGGCATTGTGTTGGGGCAGGGGGTCTCCTTGAAATCTCCCACTCTCCTTCCCCAAATCAATCCACATAGGGTTCTGATGGCCTGACCCTTGAGCAGTTAGTTGTTTACTGCTTCCTTTTATCCAACTGAAGCAAACTTATGAGAGTTGTCATTTGTCTTTGGCAATTCTCACCCACATTCCTGCTGTCCACAGAGGTGTGTTTTCCTTCTAATCCTCACTCCTTTCCCAATAAACCCACTACCTTGCCTTCGTGGGATTTACCCACTCTTGGAAATATCAGAGTCTCGGATACTTTCTTACGTCTGTCCACACTCCCTCCACACCAAGCACAGTGCCTACTCCTTCCTAACCTGGTTCTCCCAGAACAGACTAGGGATTTTACAGAGTGCTGTATTATTAACTATGCCATGTCCCAGCAGGCCCAGGAGTGGTCAATCAGAAATTTGGTTTCAGTTGCAGCAGAGAGAATTCACTAAGCAGACTAACAAAGTGCTAATAATTCTGGGAGAAGTCCATTCCTCCTCACCTCACCCCCAGGATTTCTGTTGGAAAATACTATTTTAGCAATGAACATTAAAAAAAAAATGCTTGTCAAACCTAGAAGGGTGATGGCTCTAGTAAGCTATTTGGAATTTTTTTCCTGTCTAGTGAAATAGGAGAAAGGTGGCCAATTGGGGTAGCAAAGAATAATATTGTTTCAAAGATCCAAGGCTTTGCAGTAAAGTAGCTTTGATATCTGATATAGAGTCCTTCATAGAGGGTCCAGTTGCTAAACCAACTGGAAAAACAAGATCAACCAGTCACCACAAAGTCAGCTCTGCAAGTAGTAGAGCTAATTGATGATATAGAAGCCACCACTTGGTTTTTCCAGCTTTAAGTGGCTGGAATATATTACAGCCAGAACCATCCTTCTGTATATGATAGGAGGGAAGAGATTCCTTAAAATCACTCTGACCTGTAACAGTACCACCACACACCCATTCATACAATCATTCCACTTTTGAATTCTGTGCTGCTCTGGTAATTTTTAAAAAACGAATGAAACATAATTTTTTCCCCACGTTGGAATCACTTTGGACAGATGAACTCTGTCAATGCATCTGTGTTTCAGAAAGGAAGAAAGAGAGAAAGGGAGGGAGGTAGGGAAGGAAGGAGACAAGAGTTTCTGGGGTGAGGTAGGGAATGAAGTAGGATATTAGTGGAGATTTCATTTTCAGATTAACTGTTTGGGTTAAAAAGGGCACATTATAATAATTGGAAAAGAGTGATGGAATAAAACTTTAACTCACAGGTCAGGGAAAGGAAACACTTTGTCTGCTTCACAATTATCTCCTTCAGGTCCAATGAGGGTGAAGACAATTATTTTCCCAGGTTGAGCACCCATGAATCTGTTAGTGCCCTAGAAGCAGGTGTGTATATCACTACTGAATTCCTAAACTTTAGTTAGGTTTCTGTGTTTAGGGAGGAAAAGGCCTGAGTATAGACTGATGTTACCCTTGTATGTAACAAAGGGAGCAAAGAATACCTTTGTTACATACAAAGAAATTGAAACCCAAAAGAGAGAAAGGAATTGACTATGGAAACTTGGGTAATTAAATAGCAGCAGCGTTAAAAGTTGGTTTTGTTATTTTGAAGAGTATTATGACCCAAATCCTAATTTTAACTCTTCCTCCTTTTCCACACCATTTTCCATATTTTCTCATGAATTAAATAGTTCATATCTCTATATAATGCTTTCACAGCACCACCCATCATTAGGTTCCGGATGTTGAGATTCATCCACTGATTGGCCAGATCTGAGTCATAAGCCTGCCCTGGTGAAGGGAGTAGCAGAAGGGTTGGTGTGTGGGGGAAAATAATATTTCCCAGAGGAAAATA